GGGGGGGGGGTGCGTCATTCTTCACGTGGCCTTGGGAGCCTGGTCCTTCCCATGCCTCCAGAGCTGGGGTAGCTGATGAACGCTGGGAGGGTTAGGGTCATCTGGGTGGTGCGTCCGATGGGGGAGGTGGCTTCCTGACCCCTGGCCCCTGTGCTTTGTGACCACCATCTGGATACAAGAATGCCTGTCCTGTGCATGTATATAATGGACGGACGCATATACCATATTCTTCATAACGGTACTCAAATATTCTTGGATGGCCAGAAAAATGCAGCTGTTTCCCAAAACTCAACGGGGCACCCAGCAGGTCCTGATTTTGCCAAGTTGGGTTTTTAGTTTTTTTTTTTACTTTATAACAGATTTTCAAGCAATTTTTCTGAAAATACAAAATAAACCAGAATCCACAAACAGTATATGTATATATATAAAATAATAAAATATATATATATATAAAATAATAATAATAATAAAATATTTTTTTTTTTATTGTGTATGCTTTTTGTTAAGGGACATGTCATAGATACAAAACATAAGAACATGCTTACCTGCAAGGGATGGATGAAGCAATATAAGGACGTGTCTTTATTTTATGGTACTAAAAGAAGAATAATAAGAAGACTTGAACCGGCAACCTTCCAATCACAGGGGCAGACATTTAGCTTGTCGAGCCACATGCCACCTCCTGTTCAATGGCAAGGAGCCTTGAGTTTGAAAATGAAAAAAAAAAGTCAGACCAATGTGGTGATGTCATACAATGAAGACTGATTGGTTGAATAAGTGAAACACAAGGCCCTCCCTTGCTGACCCAGGGTCACGTTGAGCTCGGCAAAATCAGGATGTCTGGGGCACCCCAGCCATTCAATGAATTTGATCATTTTCATCGTTGTGTATTGATTAGTCAGACAAGGTGTGTTGCATGGTAACTGCAAATACTGGGGTGTGGTTTTGTAATGAACAGGCTGACACACTTTGGCAGACAAAATCATAAAAATGACATTTTCTGCAGTACTGTTTTGGATTATCATTTCATAATGTGATGTAATGCACACATGATGATTTACAGATAAGGTTCACAGGTCAGTGGGTAGTTTTGTCTTCCCTAATATTAGAAATGCTGCAAAGCCACTTGTTTCTGCAGCCATTCACTGCCTGCAGAGCAGTAACCCCACCAGAGTCAGCCCTGGTCTCCCAGCAGCACTGTGTGGCTCCCTGTGGCCCCTGAGCCGTGACACAGTTACGCTGTTGCGCAGCCTGGTCTCCCAGCAGCACTGTGTGGCTCCCTGTGGCCCCTGAGCCGTGACACAGTTACGCTGTTGCGCAGCCTGGTCTCCCAGCAGCACTGTGTGGCTCCCTGTGGCCCCTGAGCTGTGACACAGTTAAGCTGTTGCGCAGCCTGCCTGCTCATTAACAGCTCGACAGCTCGGTGCTGAGTTCTCTTTAATTTGTTTCCGCTAATAAATTTAGAATGGCTGGGAGTGTGTAACCCTCCCCCCCCCCAGTTCTTGAATTCTCGCTGTGCCTTTAGGCCCTTAGGAATTTCACTGTTCCATGGAACACTGAGGGTTTTGGGCAGTTTATACAAAAATAAAGTATATATTTTCAAGTCACACCATTTTTTAATATGACCCTTATGTTTGCGCAATCGATCCACCGGCAGCCCCAGCTGCCCGGTCTACATACATCAGTATGTTGGGGGCCTGTAACCTAAAGGATGTCTCTGTGAATTAAAGCAGATTCCAGTGCTAAGCAACCCCTCCGCAGTGCACCTCGCTCACACCATCCCTGTCTGACCTTTCATTTATCCATCGGTGGAAGAAAACCAGAAAGCTGTTTGCAGAGTACGCGGGGAGTGTGTCCACGTGTGGGATTTATGGGGAATCCACGGAGAAATGGTGTTCGTCTTAATGCTCAGCGCATGAACAGTGGTAGTGCACTCCTGTTTGACGGGGGACGGACGGACGCATGTGTCATGCATAATTAAAGCTGCATGTAACTAGGCTAATAATAAAAAGTTATAATCAGTTAAAGAGGCTACACAGGAAATTAAATTGATTACGATGTCTGTTGATTGCAGAGATACGGGTATTTATACAAGCCAAGTATTCAGATTCTGCTGTTCAGATTTTTGCTAGTAATGGCTTTCAGCTGGCCACCACACTGCTGCTGTTTGGTGTCCAAAAACACATTCCTGAGATTTAAAATCAAAAACTAAGAAGCGCAGACCACCGGGACATACCCATGTAGATCAATTCTGGCGGAAACAGTGGAAATGTAGTGTCTCTGTTTTTATTAATTTATTAGCCTGCATGAGAAATAATTGATAAGCCTGTTTTGAAATGCTTTGCCTGTTTTGATAATAGCTATCTAATAAGAGTGATCAACGTTTATCCTGACTATCTATTATCTGTTTATTCATTGCCAGAATTTTTGCCTCAAGTTACATACGTGCAAAAATAAATGTCAAACTGACATCCAGAGATTGCATCCACTGGGCGATCTTTGTGTTTGCTCTGTTTGAGGACTAATTTCAAACATGAGTGGGTGGATTCAACTTTAATCATGCTTCATGACCCCCCTGGTGATGGGGGTAGATGTAGACCATGGGTCTCCAACCTTATTTACAGTGAGACCCCCTTCCCCAAAGAAAATAATCTGGGGAGTGCTACGCGTTTGTACGTGGATTGGGGGCAGGGGTGGTGGTTGTGGCGTTAATTATTAATTTGATTTCTAATAAGTGTCGTGCAAGCTACTCAGTGGCTCCCTGCGGCCTACTATTAGTGTGACATTGCTGTCATGTAGACTCAGTCCCCCCCCCCCCCCATTCAGACAGCCACTATGGGGTCATGCTCCCCCTGTTGGTGGGGTAGAGGTAAACACAGTAACTTTGCTCTGCAGGTGGTCACTATGGGCTCATGGTTCTCCCTACTGATGGAGGCAGAGTTAGTTAGAAAAATACCCCAGCTGTCTGCAGTAAGACGCAGACATGCTCTATGTAAGACTGACACAATCTTAACACTAGGGGTTCCTGTTTGCCCGATCAGCTTGGTAATCTCCGTGTATCCTTCGAATTTAGGGAGACACATCTTGATTCCATTTCTCCTTGCTTCAGCTTCTTCCTGAGCCCCTGTGGACCTAAGTCAGTTAAACCAGTGGATCGGGGTTTGCGGGGGGTGGGGGAAGACGGGGAGGTGGAGGGGGTGGGTTGGGAGTTTCTTACCCATAAGGCTGCTGTGTGTCCAGGCTGTTGATTTATATGCCTGAATCCCCGATGGACCACTGAGGAAATATAAGCAAGAACATTGAGTTCTGCTTTAGCCAGTCAGTTAACAAACTACGGACTACAGTGTTAAGTGAAAACATAGAGATTCCCATCAAAGGTAAGGTGGCATTTCATGATCACAAATATTTTTTTTAATCACTGCTGCTGAAAACACAGTGAAGGGGTTCATTCTCAGCATATGTTTTCGTCTAAACGACTTTTTCAGCTTTTATGTATTGATGATGGTGTAGAATTTTTCTTGATATCTCCGTATGTTCGCAAATTAAAATGAAATGTTTTTAAAGAGTTTTTCTGCAATTGAAAGAAAGTCTTAGGTTTTAGTAATTTTATCAATAACGAAATTGGCTTGTTACAGGCATTTGGATGTAAAAAAAAAGTCTATCATAAAGTGCTGACATGGGTCCATAGACATTTGAGTTTAGGGATGGTTTGACTGGTTTCTGCAACACTATCGTGTTCTTTCAGTGCTCTCAGAACTCTTGCAGAATGCGTCTGCTTGCAGCGATTCGTCACAGAGTCTTTCACTTCAACTATAATAGGCACCACAGCCAAGAGTTTGCTAAATGTGAAAGTCCATCATCTGCAACATCGACTTAAGGGAGCAATAAAACCTGTTGTTTGCATTCATCAAGTTTCCATCGTGAAGTTATCAGGGCCATTGCAAAACTTTTGCAACAGATACACTACCAGTCAAAAGTTAACACTGAAAATTTCTACATTTGCATGTTACTCGCTTAATATTTACTAAAAATATACCCAATATTCTTTGCTAACAAATATACAGTATGTTCACCATTTTAGTGCCTTTATTAGCAAGAAAATGTCATATCTTTGATTCTTTAAAGTAACCTGCTCTAGCAGTTATAACAGCAGAGAAAATTTGAGGCATTCTTTCTACAAGGGACGTTAAATACTGCTGTTTCATGGAAGGAAACTGTTAACTAGTGCATTTAAAGTTAAAGGACAGTGTAAAATTTGACTATGCCAGTATCACCCAACCAGCTAATAGGATGTCAGAAAAGCACTGTTACATACTCTTTCCATGTTATAAAGAAACTTGTTTTATTTGACTTATATTTCCATTTAGAGTTGTTCACTCCACTTTCCAATGCTCATCAAGATTAAAAAAAATCTGCAGTTTGGTGAAAACGTGTGGTGTGAAAAAACTGTTATGAAGAGCGGTAATGTTCAAAAGTCCTCAAAAAAGTGTCTTGACCTTGACCATGGAGAATTTTGAGTTTTCTTCAAAATGCATGTTTTTTTTTCTTTCTTTACTATGGCCATGGCATTTAATCACATAACCCACATTTTTTTTAATCAATTAAAACGTTTTGCCATGAACATGTTTGTCTGTGCACAGATTATGAAGCTCTTAAGGTCATGAAGCTCTTAAGTATTGAAAAAAAAAAAACTAATAAAAATGCAAAATGTGCTGTCTATCTCCCAGCAGACTTCTCTTCATGCACCTCCCCTGACTTGGTGCAGGAAATGCAGAACCTCTCCTGCTCCTCACCAGCCAACCATAAGCTTCCACTCACGTCCTCCTCCAATAAACCGCAACCAGATGCAGAGTTTCTCATACGAACGCAGGGAATCATTAAACTGAAATGTGCAGAAGGGATGTAGCCGTACCCGCAGGGAGAATTTTTATGTGTGGGGGAGCGATGGATTTTATCATTGTTTCAGAAGGGAAAAAAAAGAAAGACAACTTAAGGACCCCTCCATAGGGAAATGTCAAGGGGGCATGTTTTTTTTTAATAATTGGATCCTGTTTACCATGTTGCGGTTCGGCCTTTTCAATGGTTTCTTGGCACTGATGAGTTAAGAGAATCCCACTGATGGATTCTCTTATGTTACGTGCATCTGGCTCTTTAAACGGAATTTGACTTGAAGTATCGAATAACCAGCTTTCAGTTCTGCTTTCATTGACGGGTCAGGTGGTAGCATTGTGAGGCAAGGGAGACTAATGATGGGAATGACAATCAGTTAATTAACTTTCCTCCACTTCCTCCACAGAGAAACACAATCTGGTGAAGAATCCTGTCGGCCGCTTGGTCCCATGATGGCTACTGTTCCTCCTACTGGCTTCTTGACTATCAATTTGACTTCAGTGGACAATGTGACCAATGCCTCCTGTGACACCATTTTGCCCCCCCAGCATCAGAATAAGCTAATCCCCGTTATCTACAGCATCATTTTCATACTGGGATCCATGGGAAATGGCCTGGTAGTATTCGTGCTGTGTCAGAAAGGGAGCCGCAAGACGGTGGCTAACACTTATATGCTCAGCCTGGCGTTGTCCGACCTGCTCTGCGTCCTCAGCCTCCCTTTCTGGGCTGTCTACTACTTCTTTGATTATGACTGGATCTTTGGCATGTTTATGTGCAAGCTTTGCGGGACCCTCGTGACACTCAACCTGTATGCCAGTATCTTCTTCATCACATGTATGAGTGTGGACCGCTACCTTGCCATTGTCCACCCCTTCCGGTCCCAGTGCTGCCGTAGCCCGTGTCGGGCGAGAGCCGTCAGCTGCCTGGTGTGGACTGTGGCCTGCCTGACTGCTGTGCCCGCCATGATGTTTAGGAAGATCTACTACTTGGATGAGGTGGGCGTCACGGCTTGTGTGATCATATACCCCAATGTAACATGGTTCCCCAGGATGGCGCTGATGAAGAACATCCTGGGCTTCGTGCTACCTTTCACTGTCATCGCCAGCTGCTACTGCAGCATCGGCCATCACCTGCTGGCAGGCAAAGGCCTGACTAAGAGCTCCGACAACCTGGACCGCGTCCTCAGGATGGTGGTGGCAGTGGTTCTGGCTTTCTTCGTCTGCTGGTTCCCCTTCCACGTGCTCACCTTCCTGGAAGCTCTGGCTGACCTCGATGTGCTGAGAGTCTGCAGCATACGGCAGGTAGTCAGCATCCTTCTTCCCTTTGCCCTGTGCATCGGTTTGTCCAACAGTGCCATTAACCCCTTCCTCTACTGCTTTGTGGGGATCCATTTCCGGCAACAGCTCAGCGATCTGTACCAGGCTCGGATGTCCAGCCTATCCCAGAAGAGAGGGTCCATTAGCACCAGGCTCAGCTCCTTCTCCAGGAAATTGAGTGACCTTAAAGACCTTGGTCCTCTAGAAATTGTGGAGCAGCACAGTGCCCTCTAGAGAATCTTAGGATGCCAGTCAAGGACCGGATAGCTAGATTACGGCCTCTCCTGCTGAATCTTCTGGCTGAGCAGCTCTTTGCTTTCTACTGTCTAGCCCTTGCCGTTATCCAAAGCGGCTGACAAGCTGGGCATTTTTTACTCCAGGTTCGCTACAGAGTTTGAGGTCATGTGAACAGGGCCTCAGCCAGCAGTCCAACACACAGCCTTCAGGTTAAACCCACTTCAGAACCTACTGCCCTGTTGTCTTCCCATCCTTTTTAGAATGAGAGGTCTAAAAGTTTTCAAAAATACCTGTCTTTATTCTTCAAGTGGATATAGAGGCCAAGAGTTTTAACACAAGAGTGCAAGGCACCCCCGCCCCCACATGCACAGTGATGATATAAATATGTGTGCCTGCTGCTGTGGACTCCATATCCAGGACTATTAAACTATTTTATTTGTTTTAGATTTTTTTCACGTCACTCACAAAACTTGCCCTTACTTTTTATAATAATTTTATAATGCAAATTGCACTTTTTTGTTACGTTTTTAATTGATACAGACACAGCTGTGAATACATTTACATACAAGGGGACCCTCTTGCTTAGCAGTTTCTGTTATTTTTTTTAACTAATACGATAATGTGTTTATGGTGTTTCACTTTTCACGGCTTAACAAAAGGCGTTTATCGATTAAATCCACTTTTCAACACGAGGTGTATGTTTAAAATATGCAGACAAAATAGCGTAACGTTTATTTACTAGCGCTATAGCAATTCTATTTCGGTTTTCACCAGATCAGCTCACTACGAAATGCTAATGGTCGCATATGCAAAAAGTATTTTTTTTTTGTCTTGTTTTTCTGCGTACAAATGATAAACCTGAATGTTAATCGGGGTCCCTTCATTTATTACTTTCAACTTCTTCAGCCACTTCTCTCCAAGTGAATCGTAAACTCCGGGCACGTTGTGCGCCTCCGAGAACAGGAGTGAAGTCACGTGACCAAAGCACCCCCCCCCCCCCCCTCACCACCCAAACAACTGCGAAAACAGCGCGGTCACGGTACCCCTAAAAAACGAAACCTTCAGTGGGTACCGCAGCAGATGTCGAAACCCCACGGCCTCCTCTACGCTGATTAGTACTAACAGGAAGCTCAGGGGGCTTTTCATGAATGATCACTTTCATGAACGAAAGTTAAACTTACAGTTTTCTACTTCAGAGTAGGTCAAAAAGGAAGTGTAGCTCTATCTGCTCCCCCACCCCCCACATTGTCTTTTTTTTCAGATATTGTTTATTATACAGATAAATACGGAAGAGGATTAGGGCCACCATGAAAATATTATTTGAATTCTGACTTTAATATCAGAATTCTGACTTTTTTCTCAGAATTCTGAGTTTAGAAAAAAAAAGTCAGAATTCTGAGATTAAAGTCAGAATTCTGACATTAAAGTCAGAATTCTGAGAAAAAAGTCAGAATTCTGACATTAAAGTCAGAATTCTGACATTAAAGTCAGAATTCTGAGAAAAAAGTCAGAATTCTGACATTAAGTCTGACATTAAAGTCAGAATTCTGAGATTAAAGTCAGAATTCTGACATTAAAGTCAGAATTCTGACTTTTTTTTCTAAACTCAGAATTCTGAGATTAAAGTCAGAATTCTGACATTAAAGTCAGAATTCTGAGAAAAAAGTCAGAATTTTGAGAAAAAAGTCAGAATTCTGACATTAAAGTCATAATTCTGAGAAAAAAGTCAGAATTCTGACATTAAAGTTAGAATTCTGACATTAAAGTCAGAATTCAAATAATATTTTCATGGTGGCCCTAATCCTCTTCCGTAGATAAATGACACATATCTCATTCTGACAATATATATTTTTGCCCAAAAGTATTATTCAGATTAGTTATTCTCATAACTTAATTAATGTTATTCTGAAGGAGTGGTTCAGAATAATGATATCTTATACTTAAAGTATATCACTGAGTGCAGCATGCTTTTAAATTTCACTGGTGTAGTTGGAGGCATGACATTTCTGGATAATATACGCTGCTTTATGAACTACACCTAAATACAACCAAGTAGGACTCACTTTTTCCTCCAAAACCACTTCAACGGTATTGCAATTAAATCAAGCCTTTAAGTCTACCTCTACTTAAGATGGGGTAAATGTTTTGTCTTACACCTAAATAAAGAATGATTACTCTGAGCTTGTGTTTCTCAATCCTAAGTCTTATTACTACACTTCTACTATAGATGTTCCATAAGAATAATATGTTTTTTCAGTATTCATTTTAATCTCAATGTACAGTTATCTTCAAATCTTTGCTCTTTTATAGAAGGGGTTCCTTCATGGTAAGAACTGCCTTTTCGAAGGAGGTCACATGGTCATACAAGTAGCACTGAAGTTTTTAAATTCATTAAGCACACGGTTTAACCAGGCTATATAACTGTTCAATAGACAAAAGAAGTCAACAAGTAGTCGTGAAACAAAGAAGGGGACCCTGATCATGTTCTTGTTAATGCTGTTCCCTCTTTTGTTCTTAGAAATGACATCATCAGATCGGGTATTTTCTGATTACTAGTTCCTATTCAGATCCAGATGTCTGATGGGGAGCCCATTTTTGTGTGGGATGAAAAAAGTCTTCTAGTTGTTCTTAACTTAGTATAAAAAGTACATATAAAAAATGTGGCAGTGTAAGCTGTCGAGCTTTTTTAACCGTTAAAATGTAAAACTACTGCCGAATGCATTTGGGAATATATTAGCAGTGATCTATTCTGATGATGTATCTTGAACCCCATCTGCTTGGCAGTAACGTCATCCTGACATAATTAAAACTATGTGGAATGGCAAGCAGGGCCAGGATCGGATGGTACTCTCTTAGGATCGGATGGTACTCTCTTAGGACCGGATGGAACTCTCTTAGGATCGGATGGTACTCTCTTAGGACCGGATGGAACTCTCTTAGGATCGGATGGTACTATCTTAGGATCGGATGGTCCTCTCTTAGGATCGGATGGTACTCTCTTAGGATAGGATGGTACTCTCTTGCCCTGAAAAGAGACGGTTTAGCTCTGGAACCCTGAGTCAGTAGATTTCTCTCTGCTGTACTGTAAAGCTCTCAGTCGTGTGATTCTGTGCACGGCTGGAAATCACTACTTAATTTGAGCTGCATTAGTTTTTTCTGCATTTCAGCTCAACACACTGAGATGTCAGACTTTGCAAGGCTGTTTCATGCACATATAATGTTTATCTATCTATCTATCTATCTATCTATCTATCTATCTATCTATCTATCTATCTATCTATCTCTCTCTCTCTCTCTCTCTCTCTCTCTCTTTCAAGTAACGCCACATGTTCCACACTGCCATCTTGTGGGCAGATGTTTATTTTACCCTTGAAGCATCACCCCAGGAATGATATTTTATTGCAACAGGGTGTTATTATGAAGGATTTTTTTTTGGGTAAGTATTTAATAATATTTTAATATTTTCATTTATTCAGAATGCAGGTACCGGTAAACTAAAAAAAAGGGACTTTGAGGTTCTCCAAAAAAAAAATATATAATTGCTAACCTCCTCTGGAGCCTATTTTGTCATTCAGTATGTAAGGACTTGTTCACCAAGGAAATAATAGTGCGCATTTTCATTGATCGTAACTGGGTAATTACCTTATTTTCGTAGCTAATGTCGCACCTTGTTTTTTTTTTTTTTTTTTTGCTTTTTCCTTTTATCATCACCAGAGGGAGACAGAGGTTGCTTTAACTCAGTAGTGTTTTAAATATATATATTTTTGTCTCCGCTATGTTGCACTTTTGGTCACATATTTTTGTGATGATTTATTTGTTGTGTATGACAATAAAATCTTCAGGTATGAAGAACTGATTTTAAACAAAAGTATTTAATTAGGGACAATTTTTCAAGCCCAAGTGAAAAAAGGTGATCAGTCCTACCTTCTGTGGAGAAGTTGTCAGGGGCTTGTAGATGAACTCCAGAAGATGTCTTAGGGGTGGGACTGATGCTAATACTTCCAGTTAATATTCTGAAAGGAATACAAAGCATTTTATAAAGCTCAGCTCAAATGGAAATATTTAGGATGGTACTAGATTTTCCCAGAAGTAGGTGGTCCGGCAAAATACAACAGCAAGGTGAAAGATTGCCAAATAGTCACAAATGGCTACAAAAATATGTATCTTTGGGCCTATTTTTTTAATATCACCTTGCTGGGAAGACGGTGGGTTGAAATGGGAGCTTGGCCAGAGACGCACAGAACGTTACAACCTTGCTAAAAAGCGATGGTCCTAGAGCAGGGCTCAATAGACTCAAAAGTGCTACTGTCACAAGTCAAGATCTGTATGGAGAAACACAGGCCCTGTGAGCCACCATAAGAATCTCATCCCAGCAGCCTGAACATGGTGGTGTTTGTGCCATGGTTTGGCAGAAATTCACATCTTCAGCACTGATGAGAAGTATTGCACTATCCTTGACTAGAGTGTTTGCTCGCCTAACTAGCTCCAATTCAAAATCATCCATCCACCCATTTGCAAATCCCTTAATCCTCAACAGGGTCACGGGGATGGAAGCTAGAGTCTGTCCTAAGCAGCACTGGGCAGCAGGCTGGCATAAGCCCTAGACAAGATGCCAATCCGTTGCAGGGCACATACACTCACACACAAGAAGCTATTTAGAGGTGCCAAGTAGTTGTATGTCTTTGGAGTACCAGAGGAAACCTGTGCAACATGAGAGCATGCAAAATTCCACATACTCCAAATAAAGGCAGGACTCGAACCACCAACCCTGGAGGTCTGAAGCTAAACTGTCCCCACTGAGCCACCATGCCACTCCCATGTGAAATCAGTCCAATTAAATTTATTGCATTTTTTTACATAGCTTTGAATTTTCCATAATTGTTATTAATGCTACAAATAAGTGATATAGCATCACATAGGCTATCCTCTTTCTCATTAGTGTTCACTCCTGCTAAATTCTTCCTGGCTGAAATTTCAACAGTTGCTTAGAGGACAAGCAAGTGATATTTAAGAAAAACCATCACAGATTTTTTCGTTGTTGTTAACATTAAAACGAAACGTTGTTTCAGTCATTTCAATCCCTTTTTTTTTTACTATAAAAGCTGTTTCAAATATTCTCCCAGACACGGCAAAATGTCACCAGCTTTATGTATATGAATCATAATAAATGCCGATGATTAAACAGACACTTCTTGATGTCATATGGCTGTGCCTGAGGGTGTGCAGTCTACTTACATGACTTGTGGTATGACGCACTCATCGAGTAATGGTAAAGTAATGGGAAGAGTGATGAGATGATTCTGAGAAATCTCATAAGAACATAAGAACCTAAGAACTATACAAATGAGAGGAGGCCATTCGGCCCATCGAGCTCGCTTGGGGAGAACTTATCTAATAGCTCAGAGTTCTTAAAATCTTATCTAGCTCTGATTTAAAGGAACCCAAAGATTCAGCTTGCACTATGTTATCAGGAAGACTATTCCATACTCTGACTACATGCTGTGTAAAGAAGTGCTTCCTTAAATCCAGTTTGAAATGTTCTCCCGCTAATTTCCACCTATGGCCACGAGTTCTTGAATTTGAACTAATGCTGAAGTAACCTGTTAGAATCTTATAGACCTGGATCATGTCCCCCCTCAGTCTCCTTTGCTTGA